GAGGTTTGCATGGCTGAGATGGAAGGGAGAGTGCGCGTCCCCGCTCCCCAATCCCCGAAATTGCAGGGCGGCTCTCGGGGAGTCTTGTTTCGTGAAGGGGATGGTGCATCAGGTTTTGTGTTGGCAGGAGGACACTGGTCTAAGCCCACAGCAACTGGAGGACCTTCTTGTGGCACAGGGGGTGCAGGAGGGACCCGGGTCTGGGCACCCCGGGGTAGATGTGCAGGAGGGGACGAGGAGGCACCGCAGGGCTGGAAAGGAGCCGGTGGCCTGGAGTGATGCCCCGGGAAGGGAAGGGAAGGAGGAAAAGCAGCTCTGGATTAAGGTTGTCGCCACTTGAGGGGGCGACAGCAGTTGAGTTGCCGTGGGAGAGCAGAGCAGGGAACGGGGCTTTGGTTTCCGCAGGGAATCGGGAATGGTTTCTGCAGGGAAGCAGGAACGGTCGCTGCAGCAAAGCCATGTGGTCGCCCGTCCCCACATCCTCACCCCCCAGCCCTGGGGTGGGTGACAGCTTTATCTCTCCCTCCGGCTGGGAGAAAGCCTCGCCAGAGCCGTTATCTCGCCGGAGGAGCCTGCCCAGCGCCGGCGCGAGGGGCTTCGTGCCCGCGGGAGTTCCTCCAGCCCGGTTCTTCGCACGCGGTGTCACCGCGACTCGGAGCCGGGAGGGGAGAGCAAGCGTGCCCCCCGCCACGCACCCACCGCGCTGCCCGGCTGGCGGCCAGCAGCTCCCCGCTCCGTCGGCATCTCGGCTCCGCAAAGGGCTCTGCCCACCTTCAGGTCCCCCGGGAAAGGCAGGGAAGGGGCAGGTTAGGAGCCAGCGCGGGCACCGAGCTCGCTTTGGCTCTGCCCAGCTCTCACCACCCTTTTTTCCAGCAGCGCCGAGGCTTGTCAAGGGGGTTTTTTCCATCCACGGGCTAAGCCCAGCCGCAGGTTGGGAACACTGGTCTGAAATAACCCCCTCAAACCTGTTTCTTTTACTCATTTTTAATTTTTTTTCTCTATTTCAAGCCTCACAGAGCCCCAATCCTTCCCCCCACGCAGAAACAGCCTACCTGCTATTTACACCAGCCGTACGGGGAGGGGTTTCTGGGACACCAGTTAAGTATTGCAACTGGTCTGAGCCTTTGCGTGGGACAGATCCCAGTTCTCTGTAAATAATCGAGTCCAACGAAGCCTCGAAGGCAGTTTCCTATTTATAGCAACTTTTTTTTTTTTTTCTGGTTCGAGTACACCTCCTGGGGAAACGTGGCGAGATAATTAAGTTATTTACTCCCACGTGTCCCCCCCCGCGAGCCGCGTAGTTTGACGTCAAGAACTCTTTCAACTCAAACGCGTCGTGTCCGTTTTGTGGCGTTCCGTCCCCGTCTCCCGTGCGGTAGCTGAAGCGTGGCACAGGTAGGCTTGTGATTTTAATCAAACAGGTTAATTAGCTTTTTTTCCCCCCACCGCCACCCCCGGAAAGGCTTTGTGGACTCTGGTAGATGTTTCCTAGAGCAGAGGCGAAGCCACTTTAGCATCCAGCTTGGTTTGACGAAATTTGTCCCTTTGGCAAGGTTCACACGCGGTTTATACTTTTTGTATACGAAGAGTGGAGCGTCTCAGCCGTGCCCCGCCGTGACAAAACCACTTTAGCCATTTTGTATTTATCGGTGATACAACCCAATAAACCTCGTTTCAATGAGTCTCACTCAGCTCTTAGTGTGTTTCTGGTGCAGAGTCCTCGGGCTCAGCTTCCCTCCCCTTGTCTTTAGGGGTTTTTTACAAGCACTCTCCCCTCCAGGAGAGCGCCACGGGCACGGTGTTAGTGCCAACTCACCAGGCACCTCCAGCAACAGCCCTTTAATGTCACAACAAACCTTTCCTGCTCCTGGAAAAGTGGGATCAGTCTTTCCAGGGAATATGTGAAGAGGAAGGAGGCCAAGGCTTAGCTGGCTGTAAGTTTTTCCACCCTGCCCAAGGCATCACAACCCCAGGTAAGGTTCATGTTCAGTGGATAATTACAGCTTAGAGGACTAAGTTCACACTGTTACGTGGATGGTGTTAGGAGACTGAGTCAGGAAGCCCAGCAGGCTTTGTTCAGGTGTGAAAGCAAGAGATCTTCTTGCTTCTAGGCTGCATTTAGCAGTTCTGTCTTAGCTAAACCCAGGGGAAAAGCCAGAGCTAACCCTGCTTGGTAGGGACAAGAGGAGCTCACAATGTGTTTTAACAAACTATTGCTGGGGGCAGCTCTCCTTTTCTGGGAGAAGTGCAAAACTCACTTAGCAATAATTCTGGCACACACAAGGTTTTTCTTCTCCTCATACTTTATTTAGGGTTAGCCTGCATTATTCACTAGGTCCTTGCATGCTTTACAACACAGTCCAGGAAACCTCCAACCACCCCCACGTTGTTCTTTGGTTAGAAAAAAGGCTTTTTAAAACAGTCACCATCCAAATAGCAAAAAAAAAAACCCCACCAGCTTAGCTGCACACTAGAAGAACATGTTACAACAGATCTGCCGCTGCCCCAGGCCCCATGCAGGCTGAGAACAGATATATGGCTTTTTTTTTTTTTAATTCAAGTAACTTCTACATGTAAGAGCTTAACTCTAACTTCAGAACAAGTCAAACGCGAGCAGTCTGGGCAGGCTGAGCGTTTGTGAGAACAGAACCACAAAGGCCATTGCTTTTGCACCGTGGAGCAGCACTCTACGTCCCACGGCACGGCTAACACCCCACCGAGCTCCCCGGGTTGCTGCACACCCAGGATCCTGGCCACTGCCTCATCCCTGCAGGAGCAGGGCCAGCTTCCTAGGAGAGCTACCTTAAAGATAAAAGCAGCTTTGCTAGCATGAGTAGGCCAGGAGTGTAGATGCTTACACCCTCGTACAACTAATGTTCATGTGCTTCAGCTTCAAATAAATATCTACGACCTCAGAATAGGAAATTCCACTTCCAGTACAATAAATAAAAATATTGCATTTTCTATCGGCCTGTTTGGGAGTCAGTCTGGAATGTCGGTTTCAGTGCTAGAGAGTCCCACGTTAAGCAGTTAATGCTTCCAGCTCTTTGGGTTTCCACAGCTTCTTGGCAGCGATGATGGTGTTCTTCATCAGCATGGCAACGGTCATGGGCCCAACGCCCCCGGGGACCGGAGTGATGTAGCTGGCTTTCTTCTTCACCCCTGCAAAGAGGAGAACTCGAGCTTAGCAAGTCAAGAGCAGCAAGGCTTACAGAGCTGGCCAGCCAGTATGAAGCTGTAACCAGTTTAGCATTGCTCAAATTCCTTCAAGATTGCCAGTTAAGGAATAGTTTCTCAAGGTAGACTTTCCCCCTCCCCGTTAGCCAGGGAGGACAGAGCACACCATGGTCTGTCCATCCCTGCTAGTGAGCAAGCTTAGCTGCAAAGCCTAAGCTGAAGGAAAAGCAAAAAGCAAGGTCTAACAGCTGGATTTCTAGCACAGAAACGTCAAGTCCAAGACCAGATGTGGGCAGCCACAACAAAATACTAACAGTCTGAACGTTCACCCTCTCCCTTTCTTCCAGGAGGAGGTGCCAGTGCCTTTCACCAGGCACCCAGAGGCACAGGGCTCATCGCACCAGCCCGGCTGGGCACCGCTGCAGCTCAGCTGTGAGCACCAGGGACCAGCAAGCCAGAAGGTACATTCTGCATGTTTTTATTTAAAAGGAGGAGTATGAGTGATGAATTGGGAGTAGAGGCAAGGTGACCTAACAGCTCGGGTGCAGGCTGAGTCTCCTCTGCCTTGCAGCATACACCTTCCCCATGGCACGTTAAAGGGAAGCTGCACCCTTGCGTACGGTACAGTGTTGGATGCACCAGGCTAGAGAACATAAGCATCAGTCTGCAACTGCTCAGCCACACAAACCAGGACTTTCTCCTCCCCTTCTCAGCACCCAAGGAAACAGGTGCAGAGCCTTTCCATACCTTCAAAGTCCACATCCCCCACTAGCCTCGATTTGGCAGTGACAGGATCCTGCACTCTCGTTATCCCCACGTCAATAACTGCAGCTCCTTCTTTGATCATGTCAGCAGTGATCAGATTGGGTATGCCTGCAGGAAGAAAACGGAACTGCACGCTCATGGTGGTGCTGAACAGCCCCCTGCTCCCCCTCACCCCCCATCTTCATCTCCTGGTTTGACCCACCTGGGCCTTCCTGCCTCACAAATGCAAATCTACCCACAGTTGGATAATCCAGTGCTACTCCTTGATGTTCAGCTCAGTCAGGAATTTGTGTGGTTTACTGATAACCTCAGAGTGTAAAGAGGAATCCACCCCCAGAAAAAGAGGTCTGGCAAAGCAGCTGGGCCCAAAGCATCCTTAAAGCTTGCACATGAAGTCTGCAGCTGCATTTGTTCACGCAGCTCCGGCAGCTTTTTTGCACCTGTGCTGAGTCAGCAAGCTGGAGCAGCACCTGAGACCACCACAGCCCAGCTTGGCAGGGGCTGGAAACCCTCCAGCATCCCAAGGAGAGAGGGGTGGGGAGCAGCGGCGTCAGGTTAAGCCACCCTTTCAGGGTGGGGTGTGTCGGTCTGGTTCTGCCAGATACTGCCTCATTTTCTCTCCTCCCTCCCCACAGGCTCAGGTCCAGCTTCTGCTGCCAGACAGACACCCCAGATCAGCTCAACAACTCTGCTGACGAGCTACCTCCATGCCAAGGGTACAGCCTGGAGAAGAGCACACCTTGAGTGAGTCCTTGTGCTCTGAAGATGACACTGCAGCTGCCCCTCAGCGTTTTCACTGTCTCTAGATAAGCAGAGGCTACCTTGGTATATTTTTTTTCTCCTCCTCCTCACATAAACACAGAGCTGCCCGTGTGCATAACAGAGCCTGTCTGTAGCTGTTCTCTAGATCCCATCAGGAGCTCCCTGGCATACCAAGCCCTCCTGCCAGATGTTATTTTCCATTTCAAAGGCAGAGCTGCAAACAGCTCAGCTGCTAAGATCCAAGTATGTGGCTCCTGGGCTTAATTACAGGATAAACTGACAGGTTTAAACAGCCCCTGACCCGTTGCTGTGCTAGCCCTGGCCAACAGCAGCCGCAGGCAGCCAGGAGAGCACCGGGCTCTCCTACACTGCCAGAGCTGCTCAGATAGGGAGGGCACAGGACACTGGACACCAACAGGATTGTCTCCTGCAAGGAAGGGTTCCCATCAGGAACACCACGCGAGCTGCAGTGCAGCACTCTGATGTCGGAGTCAGGTCCTACCTGCTGCCGCCCGGCACGGATCGTGTGCTGCTTCAGCTGCTCCTTGGGAGTGTAGCGGTGGGATATGGTGACTGTGGCATCGCCTGCAAGAGTGGTTACAAGGAGCTTTTAATTCACACGTACTATCCAAACCCAGCTGCTTCTATAAGTTTTCCCCTTCAAAACCACCTGTATATTTATCAGGAACATCAGAGCCTGATGACAAACCCCAGGGAACAGCTTACAAAGTCAGAGGGAGGGATCTGGTACGGAAGAGGACAAGGACTCACTGAAGAGAGCTCCAAAATGTTACAAGACTATGTGCACTCCTCCTCAGCCTTGACCGCAGCCCATAGGATGAGCCAGAGTCGCTAAGGCGCCCCTGGGACAGTGTGACAGGGAGAGGGGACAGTGTGACAGGGAGAGGGGACAGTGTGACAGGGAGAGGGTTTCCTTCCGCAGCTGCCTGGCACACAGGCTCAAGGCCACCACGCTCGTACCTCCCGGGCGCTCGTGCCTGCCGTCCGTATGCAGCAGCATGGCGATGGGCATGCCCACGTTCTTCGACCTGCCAGCCACCACCACGTTCTTCCCCAGCGTCGGGATGCCTGCAGAGGACAAGATGGAATCTTAAAACAACCACAAGCTGGATTTATACTAGACAGCACCCAAATACTGTAGCAGCAGCTCACCAGTTCTCTTGATGATCTCCCACACCCCCCACGGGGTAGCTGGCAGCATGGAGTACTGGTCAAGGCACATGCGTCCCACGTTGATCACGTGAAAGCCATCAACGTCTTTGTCTGGAGACACAGCGTTACAAATCCTGCGCTCATCAATGTGTTCTGGAAGAGAACAGCCAGCTTTAACACTAGGGCTCAGCCAAAAACCTGCTTTTTGCAGTCACCCCGAGCCCTCACCGGCTGCACTGGCCCCTTCAGAGTTTGGAAGCTTCAAGATACTCAAGACTTCCAGCAAACTCAAGGCTAACAGCTCCCAGCAGAAGGGAACTGGAACCACTTTAGGACTAGAGCGTCGCTAATGCAGAGATGGTATTTTTAGACAGCCTCAGTGTCACAACCGAGTTCAAACTTCTGGCTCTGGAAGCCGATACCCCCTACACAGGAATAGATTGCTGTGACCTGCAGCAACTGAACTCGTTCAGGCAGCCATGCGATGGAGTAGCTGCCCCCACTTCCCTAAGCTGCATCACAGCAGGATGCCACCTCTTGTGCCATGGGATAGTCCCTGCACTGCTCCTCCTTCTGTACATACCAACCTCTAAAAGCTTCATGTGAAAATGAAACCCATGGCAACCCAGCTGCTCACCGGGGAGAGGAAGCTGTACTAACAGGCCGTCCACATTCGCATCGTTATTGAGGCTGCTGATCAAATCCAGTAGCTCCTCCTCTGAAATAGAAGCCGGCCTGAGGATGGTTTCACTGCTGATTCCTGCAAAATTGTTGGAAGCACCACGTTAGACAGCCATGTACGCACAAGTGGGAGAGGAACTTTTTTAATCCATGGGGATTTAAGCTGCCCTGTTTCACTGCTCTACCAAATCTGATAGGCACACACCAAGGATTGAATGCTTTGTGTAGCAATGAGGACCTTCCAGGCTGGAGACCCTCACAAGTCTGGTGAGTTGTGGTTGAGGATCATTAGTGTCAGTCTAACGACCCGGAAAAGACTATTTGAAAGCAGAGACCCCCCCGAGTGCAGGGAGGGCTTGGAGAAACCAAACCAAAGAGTGCTACAATGAAGATGTGACCACACATCCTGTGGTCCCTCTTGACACAGTAAGAAGGGGACATTAGCCTTCAGCTCCACAGGTTTTGGCAGCACAGAACCCCAGGAGAAATTAAACCATTTATTGCCCTGACCCTTTCAGCACATTTTTCCAGAACCACCCTTGGCTGAAGACCGAAGACTTGGGAGATTGGAAGGAGTAAGAGGGTGGCAAAAGGCTGCTGAACAATGACTCAGGCAGTTGAGGAAAGAAGGCAAATCAGAGCCCTGTCTGTGCTTTATATGGCCCTAAGAGGACCACAAATCCAAGTTACAGAGCTCCGTGTTGCCCTAAAGGATTCAAATGACACAATGCACAGGTGGATGGTGTTTATTGACTACATCCCAGTACAACAGTGAAGTGTCACAGCAAGTTCTGGGGCAAATGTGGGCTGCCACGCCACTGAGGGGAAAAGCTGCCAGATGGCTGCACCCCAAAAAGATTCCTCCAGCACAGAGGACTCCCTCCTAAAGCAAGACAAAGCAGTCACTTGCTCCACTTTTTCAGAATAAAATGCCAGACGTACCAACATCAGCAGCCGCTTTGGTTTTGTTCAGGACGTAGGAGTGACTCGCTGGGTTTTCACCGACGAGAACGACGCTGAGGTGAGGCCTCTTGTTTCCAGCCGCTACCCACTGCTCAACCTCGTGACGGGCTTCCTGCCTGATCTGGCGGGCCAGCTTCCTTCCAGAAATCACAACCGCATCATTTCTGCAACAGAAAAAAGGGTTACCAAAGCAGCCAGCATCGTTAGGACCATCAAATCCAAGTTCTGTGCAACACAGACCAGGAAAAATGGGTGCCAACACCAAGCCAAGGCAGGAAAGGCTTTTACTTGAGCTCTGTGCCAGCCTAGCGTACCTTTACAGCATATTTCAGTCTTAGTTTACAGCTTTGCCACCCAACGTGAGATCAGCACACAAAACTGATCAGATGGACCAACTTATTTGTGCTGCCCAAGAAAAACGTAGGCACGACTCTTCC